AGTATAACCCGTAAGCAAGCGTGAATTTTTGATTAGATAGCCTACCAGGTAATATCGAATTATTATTAAACATTAATAACTAACAGTCTGCACAAAGTAATATACTTTTATGAAGAATATAACGTGATATAACTTGACAAACTGCTCACGGGAGGGACTAATTTTTGTAAGAATTTGAACTTACTGTGAAAAAATGGGTGGCATTCTGCAACTATAACTTATAAGCCACAAACGAAAAAATCGCACAGAATATTTCTTCCAGGTGTTTCAATTTCGTCAGGGCATGTCATTTTTTTTTAATGATTTTGCAATCACTATACTAAAATTGTTAAGAAATATTTGTTTCAAACACACTCGATGTTACTTTTTTCTCTTCCAGAAAACTCCTAGATATAAATTGGAATGTTCATAAAATTATATAATTTCGTGTGCGAGGTCATGCATGGCGACTGCTAGTTAGATGACTATTCTCGTTTTGAATATATTAATTGGGGTACCCATCTAAACCCACGCAATAAACACGAGTTACAAGACCCGAATTCTGGCCCCGTTCCTGAAAAATGGTGACCGACAATTATCGATTTTGGTCATTTCTTTAATACAGTATAATCGACAAAAAATTTGCACTCATTGGCTCATTTTCGTTAGTTTTATTCACACAACATCCGTATAAATAAGGAATTATGTATTTGTGAGCACTGTGAAATTATAATTTTAAATTTGTCTGAAGCTGGGCGTTCTAGTGGAGCGAAAATGTTAAAATGCACTTTTAAAAAGATTTCAATGTAGAGGCTTCGAATAAGCTATAAAATCCGATAATATGCGGCCAGTTTCGAAAGATAATGACAAATTTATTGTATTCACGTGATACTGTAGAACTCCAACTACGGGATCAAAAATTAATGAAAAACATAATTTTAACCACGTTCTGCCCAATAGACAGTGGCTTAATGGATCACTCTTCTGTAACCAGGATTCTGAATCAGTCGTCTATTTCTGGGCTAAGCTGCACGAGATAGCGAGGTTTTTTAGTTCTTGATTCTTGGCAACGGTTTCTTAATAAAAGTGCGCCCGGGGAAAGAAAGACTGGCCCGCCATGTTACACGTGAGAATACGAGACAGACAAAAAATATTGAACGAGAACTTTCGATTGCTGCAAGGGTCAATAAAAACGCCTTCTTTTGTTTTCAATACTTCTCTTTTCTTGGCGCACGTCGAGTGGTCCAACAGCCAAGAACGTTACATTGGATGTTGATAAGAAGGAAAGGGAACAGATTGAAAACTTGTCAACATCATTAAAGCATCACGTTATGTTTACATCTTTCTGTTTATAGTCCGCTCTGTATGACACGAAAAGCTAGTAGACCTCTTATGCCGCGAGGTGAAAAAACACTATTAACGAATAAAGTGCCTTGATCTTTGAACTTATCCTTGCTTTTCAAAGAGACTACTTAAACTTTTGCAAGTGCTTAGAGGCTGACTTCTTGCATCATGAGTGATAACCTAGCGAACAGTTCATCGTGACGAGTCCTTCAGCATATAAAGAAATAGTGTGACCCATAAGAATAGAATGAGTTCGCGCGCAATTAACACGCATTCACTCGCTCCAGTGAAAAGTTGAACATATCTTCAATTTTTCCCGGCGTTAGTTAAGTTTCTCTCTTAGTCCTGAGTAAGAGTTAAATTGTTCCTTGACCAGTCCGTGTGCAGGCATATAAAGCCGTAAGCCTCTGGCGGAGTAAAGAAGACGGTGGGGCCACGGCTTTCTTGGTCAAGATGATCTCTTTCACACTGTAGGTTACGATAATAATACAATAACTAAGTAGTTAAATCGACTTTTCCGTTATATGGACGTTTTCCAGCTGTGTTAAGTCCATGTGAACATCCATATTTAGTTTATCCCATACAACTTTTTCTGTTTTAAGTAAAAATACTGATAAGGCGTTTATTCATATCAAGTCCCACGTACAGCTGTAGCTGAGATCTGAATCGGCTCATTTCTCTTTATAATGCAGCTTTCATGAGAGAGCAGTTTCCTTCTTTGATTCCTCACATCGAGAAAGAGATGAGCAAGATGAGCCACAGTGTCGGAAATGGCGTCTGCCTTAATTACAGGGTATCACTGAGCCACGCGAGGGGCCAGTTCATCAAGTTGTTTTTCTTTTTTGCAAAAAGACACTGTGTAGAAGTTAAGCCGAATTGAGGCAATCTTTCGTAATGCTGCAGCGGCTTCAGCTGGCAACTTCACTGTTTTAAACAGCTGTCCACCGCGCTGTTTGGGTTGCTATTTTTTTAAAAAAATACCCATCCTCAGATTCTGATGATATCACTATCCTTCCCTTTCACGCTGTAAAGTTCAAAATACAACTTAGAAACTCCTTGTGCGGCAGGCAATCAATTTCGTAAGCGACAAACCAATCCCATGAGCGACCACTTAAACTTAACATTTTGGGTGATCGCGTATTGTACACTGTAAGTGCGACTGTAATTAATTTATTCTCGGAAATTTTCTAACTGCCGGGCATTTAGTTTTTTAAAGGCCTTTCTCGGCTGCCGGGGAAATAGCCTCAGCGTAATTTAAAGTACAAGTATTAGCTCTTGAATTAGGCCNGAGCCACAGTGTCGGAAATGGCGTCTGCCTTAATTACAGGGTATCACTGAGCCACGCGAGGGGCCAGTTCATCAAGTTGTTTTTCTTTTTTGCAAAAAGACACTGTGTAGAAGTTAAGCCGAATTGAGGCAATCTTTCGTAATGCTGCAGCGGCTTCAGCTGGCAACTTCACTGTTTTAAACAGCTGTCCACCGCGCTGTTCGGGTTGCTATTTTTTTAAAAAAATACCCATCCTCAGATTCTGATGATATCACTATCCTTCCCTTTCACGCTGTAAAGTTCAAAATACAACTTAGAAACTCCTTGTGCGGCAGGCAATCAATTTCGTAAGCGACAAACCAATCCCATGAGCGACCACTTAAACTTAACATTTTGGGTGATCGCGTATTGTACACTGTAAGTGCGACTGTAATTAATTTATTCTCGGAAATTTTCTAACTGCCGGGCATTTAGTTTTTTAAAGGCCTTTCTCGGCTGCCGGGGAAATAGCCTCAGCGTAATTTAAAGTACAAGTATTAGCTCTTGAATTAGGCCCAAGGAGACCGCACTGTTTGTTCTCGACTAAGGTTGGGCTCTTATGTAAAAGCTGCATGTTACTTGTACACATCATCTGATTGACCTGTCAAAGCTCGATAGAAAAATAGGTAAAATACACACATGTAATGGTAATTTGAAGCAAATGACTTCCTACCATACCGATTCGATTATTAATATTATTACTTTAAGAAGGACCCTAAGAAATGGAGACGCTTGCTTTAAATGAGTGTGGATTAGATTACAGTTAAGTTCGATCATACATTGCATGGAATAATAATATTTTGACAAACAATTTTTGTAAAGTTTCATGCCAACAGTCGCAAATAAGATGACAATAAAAAGTAACAAGTAAAGTTTGGCAATTTCTTGTTACGTTTGTTGTTGGTCAAACGTTCCACAATACCATGTAACATTTCTTTTGTTCTTGAAAATACTGTATCATTTTGTTCATGGGAGTTGATGGTTGTTTGGAAATTGACACACTGTTATATGCAAAATATTTAAGGAAGCTCTTTTGACTGCATTGTCCTGCCTTTTGCTGAACAGTGTTTCGACTCAAAGTTCAAGAAAACTTTCGGTATCTTTCTGATTGAGTCTGTAAGTAACAGGCTCGCATCACTCTCACTAACTGCTTTTAAGCAGCAAAACTGAGAGGATGATATTTAGCGAGTTTATCATGAACGGTGAATTTTTCAATGATGCAATAAATTTTTTAGATGTCTGCTTTTTGTGGCAAAGGTTACATGGAGACTGAACGTTCTTATTTCTCATTTTTTGAGCCTGAAATGTTCTTATATATTTAGTTACGTGATAAAATTCAGAAAACCAATATGAACCTAAAAAAGATAATTGCGCGCTGTATCATGTAACCTTCCTTTACTTGTTTATGCAGGTACAAGTGGTAAAACGGAATAAGGATACATGCAGCTGTTAGCTTCAGCTTTGAGTTACGTTTAGTTTTTGTTGCAATCCATTTCTATTATAGCTGATATTGGCAACAGACCATAACAATTATTAAAAAAAATAATAGAAACGTCTAGGTAGGATTGATTATCTAATGAAAGGTTGAGAAATGATATGGCATTAACTCTAGCGAGGCAAACCGCCACAGGATAGACGCAGGCCTCAGTCACGATGTTCTTATTAATAACCACGATCATAAATTAAAGACAGAGAAATGATAAAAGGCGGTCCTAAAAAGCGTCCTAGACGTCAAAAAAATTTACAACCAAAATTCAGGTTTTTTTTTTTAACTTCTTCTTGCAGTAGTGTAAGATTCACCTTTGTACGCCTATTTACTGGAAACACCGTGCTGAGCTTATCCAACATGTCATGCTGAGTTTTTTTCAACGATGCTGGATTTTGGAAAGCGGATTAACTTCTTTACTATCAGAGAGCTCAGAGTCATAAATGGGGTCATTTCCTGTTGTGAGAAATTAAGTTGATCGACTCTACTTACTCATTCCCGTTCTAAAATAAAAATAAACTACTTCGGACAAAAAGTACGCTTGTAAATCCTCTGTTAGACTACGAGTAATCCCCATTTTTCTTCAGGGATAGTAGAGCGAGCGAAACGCGAGCGCGCGTGAAAATCACCTCACGCGAGAAAGGCGAGACGCGGAATCCTTTGTCCACTTTACGTTGAGGTCACACCTCCATCCCTCTTTTCATTTGCATTCATTAAACATCATCATCATCATCATCATCACCACCACCACCACCACCATCATCATCATCATCATTATATCATCATCATCACTAATGCCATGGCTTTTGTACGCAGTGCGTGCTTATTTACCATCTCGTCTCACACTATCCCGTTCTTAGTTCTCTTCGATGTCGCTTATTGTTGTTTCAAAAAGTGATTCTACATTCTTTAACAGGTGATGACGGCGACTATGGAGGTATTCACATCAAATGCATTTCACAGTATATGCAGCTTACCCTGGAAAAAGTTCACTATAAAAAGATAGATCCCGAGAGCTTACGCTTAAGAGACCCAAGATGTAAAGTTGCTTTTTACAACAAAACAATCATGGTCATTCGAGCACCGCTAGGCAATTGCGGTACAACGTCAGCGACCGAGGGCAAATTAATACGTTTCACTAATGACGTTTATGCGGAAGTGAGTGGAAGTTCGGCCATTTCACGGGCTCCAGCGTATCAGTTCCGTCTTGAGTGTCTGTACTACGCTTCTGTTAAAATATCATTGCATTCGTTCAAGGCAGAAGACACCATTATTGTAACTCCTACACCAGGCAAGTGTGCTCTTAATAATGTCTTTTCTTCTCTGATAAAAAGATTGCGAGCAAAGTGTCGACTCGGGATGGAGTTAGCGATTAGAAGTTGAAACTTCCTGAGACCATCATGCAATCCCTTTCCCCACTTTACGGTACACTACCACTTCCACCACCCAATCCCAGAGGCGACAGCTTGCTCATAGGGTACTGGATAAGTGATGGTAATAGGATTGAGTGGAGTACAATTCAGGGAGTAATAAGACTTAAGTTTGTTATTGACACAGTTACAGCTATAATAGCTTAGAGGTATTAAAATTCAAATGAACTATAATGTACAGGGCTGCGTTCAGAGAAAGTTGAAGCCAAAACTAAATTTTGGCCGTCAGCCTAAATTTGACATTTCTATGGCAGTAAAAGTTATGTCAAGGCACATACGAGCCCACAGGCTCAAATAGCGTAAGCTTAACGCGGCCTCAGAAGAACGGGGTACCTAGTTCCTCTATCAAGTTCTCTCTCCGGATTCCCAACCCTTACCGAGCGCCATCGTAATGTGGTGAGTGCGCACATCTATTGCGACGGGGAGGGGGGGGGGGGGGAGGCCGTTAATCTTCTTTAAAAAGGGGGGGGGGGGGAATTTAAAGGGGATTAAGGGGTTACTTTTAGAATAAAAAAAACGATTTGTTTTTTTTTTTTTTTTTCATTGGTTGAGTTCACCCCATGTCAAAAACATAAACAAAATTGTGTATTTGCTAGAAAAAAAAAATTTAGAAGAGGCCCCAACCGCGCCACAGGGCAAAAACGCCGAACGATAACCGCGGCCCAGAAAAAGGGGGTTCCCTTGTCCTCTATCATTGTTCCCCCCCGGATCCCCCCCCCCTCCCGGGCCCCAATGTAAGGGGGGGGGGGGCACACATCTTTGGGGGGGGGGGGGGGGGGGGGGGAGCTCGTTAACTTTCCTTAAAAAGAGGGGCGGGTGGAATTTATAGAGGATTCAAGGTCTACTTTTTGAATAAAATGAACGATTTGTGTTTGTGTTTTTTTTTCATCGGCTGAGTTAACCTCCAGTCACAATCACACGGTTTTTATTTTTTAAACCCACTTGCGTGCTGATGATCAAAGTTTGCTCGTCATATCGATCTTTGAGTACTTTTCACTCCCTGCTTTCCTAACAGAAATGATCAGCACATTTATGAGACTATGTACACATATTATAATATGATTTCTCGACTTTATTTCAAGGTATTGGAAAATTTAAGTTTGAAACAAGCATGTACCAGACAAACAAGTACATCAGTAAGTACACACAGTTCCCCGTCAAAGTTCACCTTGGAGAAAGTATCTACCTACAAGTCAACCTCAAAAGCAACCAAAGTGGTTTGTCTCTGCTACTGGAGAACTGCCGTGCGACACCAACTAAAAATCCAAATGATACAACATACCACACCTTGATCAAGGACGGGTAAGCATAAAAAGCTAGGATGGTGTCAACTATTCTTAGTCAAGTAAACTACAAAAAATTAATAAGAAATAATGGCCGAATTTTATTTAGCGCAGAAAAACTACAGTCGAATCTCCTTGTGTGACCACTCCAGTATACGACTATCTATCCTTATGTTTATTACACAACGGTGTACTCCTCGTAGATAGCCATTTATGAGTGTATGTTTGGCAAAGTTTTGAGAAAAGTGGGGAAATCAGAGTGAGGAACAGTTGTGCATGGAAAAGAGTTGAATATGGGGCTTAGCACCGAAGTACAGTGACTAGGGTTAAGCACTCTTTTCAAAACGGTTAGCTTTCAATAATGTAATGATCAATGTCATATAAACTGAGTTAAAATTAACCGATGTAGGTAGTTAGCCCTTGATGGTAGTAGATACGGATGTTGATCAAACTTCAGATGGTGCGGGTTCAAGTCCTACATACTACCTACTGTTTTCTTCCGTTTTCTTTCTTCTCTTACTAACTAGTGCTTTAAGTTATAAAACTCCTATCATGTGTTTTGAGTAAAGATGACAGTCTGATTTTAGGGTATCCATTCTAGTCACAACCATTGAGGATTCAACGATATTTTATGTGGTATTACATTGCTTGATGACGTCATTTTACTTCAACTACCAGAATCCTTCAATTTGCTGTTTTGTTGTGCAAATCAGAGTTATTATTTTTTAAATTTCAGAGGGATTGGCAAATTTGAATAAGAAAGCAAAAACGAAATGAACTCTGATAGTTGTAGTCAAACGTCGTCTTCGTGAAAATGGCCTACTTACTAGAATTCAGTAAAATGTAATACAACACCTCGCATACTGTGAGGCTATGCAGTTCACAATAGATGCTTGTGCATCAGTAGACTGGATCTGCGTACGCTTACGGGTCCCAGACATGCTGGAACTGGGCCCGAAGCCCACAGTGCTAAGGGAGCATTACTTGGAGGGGATTCGAGATTGGACTCTTGATCTCAGATCACCCGGATGTGTTACGACAAGGCAAATCCAAATAAGATTCTTTAGAATCAAAATAGCACGGCAAAATTGCGTGAAGCGGTGGAATGGGGCGGGACTCATATTTTCCAAATAAGAGCGCTTTCCAGAAGTATTTTTTTCGGATCAGTATCCCTAGAAATGTGCGGATCCTAAATCCTAAAAACCTAGATTTAACTGGGCCTTTTGTAGCTAATAAATGGAGCATGACTTTAGATTCATATCTTAAGTACAGAAATGCGAAATCAGCTTTTGGATTCATAAGTCCGGCTTTAGAAATACTGTCCCCCAAATAAACTAACGTAGAAATTCCTTGGTTGTGTTTCAGATGCCCAGTCGATGAACACTTGAATTACAAGAACTCCGATTCTCCTTATCAGCGATTTAGTTTCCAGTCCTTTAAATTCAACAACACTGAAGTAGTGTATCTTCACTGTGAGGTATACGTTTGTGCAAACAATACCAACTGTTCAGAAGGCTGCACACAGGAACCAGGCAACATTAGAAGGCGGAGAGATAAGAGGAGCCCTTCTGATCACAGGAGATCCACGTCTTTACAGGGTGCAGTCAAAATTTTAACGGAAAGAGTCCAAGGGGCGCCGTTACCGATCGATGAAGGTTAGACATTACTAACTCAGAATATTTCCGTTAAGTTCATCATAAAAAGATTATTTAAAATAGGGGAAGTACAACTGGTGCAATGCGGGAAAGTTACAACCTATGCAGTAATGGAAAAGTCAGTTCAGAACTCTCTAATTATCTGCCTCTCTGAATGACCTTGACCGCGCCAACCTTCATGTGAAAGCGAGAACTAGGCTTCTGTTTGTGAAAACTGACGGAACTTTCCGTTCCTTTTACCCTGAACGTAGCCTGCGTAGCTGGCGGTATTGTGTGGGTGCGAGATTAAAGTTTTGGCGGCGGAGCTGTGTTCCAAAACAGGGAGTAGGGACGAGGCGGTTGACTATATTACAACGGCTCCGCCGCCAAATCTCACTCGACTACTACACAATACCGCCAGTTACGCAGGCTACCCTGAACGTGTTTTTGGCCTTGGGTTTTTGTTTCAGTGACATGTGAGATCTAAAGATTGTTTTTGAAGCGGCCGTTCACAATTTTTACAGTAGGCTTAGTTCTATGTACAGAAACGTTTCAATTCCGTAGTATGATTTAGATAAGTAGCCATGTCAGTACAGGCTAAACACAAGTTCAATATAAAGGAACATTATAAAACCATCAATCAAATACCAGGTGAGTTTTGGCGCGTAAACATGATATCTTAACAAGTGAAAAGGTCACCCTTGCTAAGGCTTCATGTAAGTCGCTCCTTTTGCCGCAAAATATAAATAAATAAATAAAGTTACATTTGTCTTCTCATGTTCAAAAATACTTCACTACTAGAATAGAAGTTTCATATCTCCGCGCGGCCATGTAATATCCCCCATTGTTATATAGCTGGAAATTTCTGCTCAACAGCGCGCGGTCTCATTGGTTACTTCGAGGTCACATCATATCTAACAATGAAACTGTTTCCCGCCAAAATCTCTGAGCGGGTAACATTGAAAAAATCTATGACGTCAGAGGGTAGCAATGCAATGTTACCCGCGAATGTTGACCGATGACCGCCGTTACAGCGAGGTTTAATGAATTTCCAGCTTCAAAAAATTTTCAGCTATATAACAAATTACTTTAAGACTTGTCCCTCGGGAAACAATAAATTTTGTTTCCCTCGAATCGAGGGAAACAAAATGAACTGTTTCCCTCGTGACCAGTCATTAAGTGTTTAATACTGTTTATTGAGACTGGCATTTTCTGATCCTTTCAGGTTCTCGTTCCTACGCCCCTGTCGTAACAATTGAGAAGTTACTTATCCTCTTGACGTTCACTCTGGCATGTTTCTCGGCGTTGTAATGAACTTATCACAGTCAGTCATAAAACCACGTGATGGAAGAGGTACGACCAGTGTTCAAGTTTATTGTCAGAGGACAATACATTGTTGATGACGTACTTTGGACACCGATTAGTAGATAGCAAGGAAAAAAAACAGATTACTTTCTGCAGCAAGAGATAAACAAATAGAGATCATTTAATAAAGAAGTAAAAAAAAGGTACTGTAAACTTAGGAACGTAGTGATCACACTTCAAGAAAAAATTTCAAGAAGGTGAGACGAGTCGTTTGGATAACTATCTGTGCGCCTCTTCTTCATGCAAAGTCGTGTTTGTAGCTGTTATTTAATTCCTCAGGTGATGCTTTTTTTAATTATTTTTTTGACTCTTTGACTGATTTTTAACTCTTTCGCTCAAGCGCATTTTCCAACCATTGCAAGGATTTTTTTAAATCGCAATCTAAAAGATTGCGTTGAAAGTGAAAATGCAAAATTATATCATGCTTGACTGACAGCCAGGCTAACATATTGTGCCATGCGTGGAATGCAGTAGATAGAAGCCATCTATATTTAATCGCAGCTATTATTATTTAGATTTTGATTTGAATATTTGATTTCGGGCACGGAAACTTACCAGGATTTTCGAGAAATGGATAAAAAGTTACAGTTGTAAGGCAAAAAGATGTCAGTGTTTACTTAGGCCCCTGTGATCTACCCAAACTGCTTTGCGCGCTACTTGATTTGTGCAAATAGTGAACGTTTTTAGTATCTAACAGAATCCACTTCCACACAAAAAAGCTAAACATTGTAACCACCTTTTCTGTCTGTTGACTATTCCAAATGACAGAAAGTTTCCAATCAAGGTATCATAGCTGAACAAGTTTTCCATAGGTGAGGTTTGACTTTACCTCTAGACTAATTTTCCAAGGAACAAAAACAAACGCTTGCAAAGTGGCGCGGGTAAACATGGGTTTTAAAGATGAGCGCCGAAACAGATTGCATTCAAAAGCCACGAATGTTGTTAAAACTGAACGGGGAACGAGAAAACGAAATATGAGAACAAAACGTAACTTGAACCCTAGCCCTATCAGGAACTTTGGCCCATTCAACCAAAACTTTCGAAAATTTCGAAACGGCGGCAAATGGTGCAGCAATTTTCCGGAAAAGTTTCCAGAAAATCCGGAAAAGTGTTGAAATTCCGAAATGCGAACCATTTTTATGGAATTTCCGGGAGCAAAGTTGAATGGAAAGAAAATTTCCGGGAAAAAGAGTTTCGAAAATTTGGGTATTCCTCGTGACGTTGTCCTCTTTTTTGGAAATTTTGGAAAAAGCTGTTCCATTCGCTACTGGAAGTTGCCGAAAATGGAAAGTGCCCTTTATTTTCAATTCACGGCTTCAGTTTCCCTTTCCCCGTGCTCGTTGCCCGCTCCCCGGTTTAGTAGCATCCTAAAGGCGACCCTTACAAACGGGGGGTTCAAGTTAAAAAATAACATAGTTTTGCAGTAGATATTTGTAACGAAATGAATATGTTTTTATAGGTTTTAATCTTTCATTCAGAAAGCGTCCTCTTACGAAATAATTTTGTTTTGCAGTTTAAAATTTATATCAGAAATCTGATTTTACTCACTTTAAACTTTAGTGAAATGCTTTCATGCTGTAGTTTTGCTGAAAGCAACCTGCGCCCCGGTTTTTAGTACCTAATCGTTTTATTACGAGACCAGTATGAAGGGTGATTTTAGATAATATACTACTTGTAGCGGATCGGAGTTTGATGGGGATGTGATTTAGCTGATATACCAGCGTGACTATAAATTTGACTATTGAGGTAAACAGGGGGGGGGGGGTACAATTTAAACTCAGGTAGCCAAACGACTCCAGTGAATTAATTTAACTCGAAATAAAGGAACAAAGCATTTACCAGAACCCAACGTTAAATCCCGCACCTCCCCCAAGTCATTCATTTCACTCGAATATAAGTGAACAAGCAGTTACCAGAAGCACACGATTAATCGCCGCCCTCGCTCCTCCGCGATCGATGAGGAACCTCGTAATTTAAGTGTAAAACATAGATACTTTTATATAAGCATTAAAGACGCTAGGAACTAGAGAATATTGAGAAGCTGTAATCAGATATTAATACATTTATAACCGAGCTACCTATCAAAAGGTCTCAAAACCATGCTACCATCATGATTGCAGACGTAGAAAAAATAAACAGTGTTCACGTAGAAAGAGGAGAACTCGACAAGGATGCGAATATTCTTATTTACATAGCGCAGTCCAGGCCTTAAACGTACAATAAAGTTCGCATTTTGTTAACATACGAGTCATTCTTTTTAACCCGCATACTAGGGAGTGTTGCAGGGCAGTAATTTGTTGTAGCGCTCGTTTCGCGACGAATTCCTCACCGTTAATCTCTCACCCAGATCTCTTGCTGAGGAAGCCGACAGCGAGATCTGGTGAAGTAAGAAAATTCAATTGTTTTGATTGGCTGGATTGTGAGCGAATGACGTGAGTGTTGTCACCTGCGTGCGCAATGGCGTGTGCAATTCATTCTTTGCAAAGTCTTCAGTTCTGTTCAAATAAATATTTCCACTGAAGAAGTAGTTTTCCGTCTCAATATAACTTGTAATACAATTTTTAACTTACCTTCAAAGTTTTTTACAACTCTCTCTCGAACGGTATCAATATTAAGACTTTTAAAAAGGGTAAAAAAAATTCTCGCGTACAAGTTGACTTGGCTGATCTCTTCCTTCATACCTTTGAGTACGATTTTATGGTCAAAACAATGAAACAAGACATTACAAAAGCCATCCAGTTCAGCAACACCTTTCGATATATCAACGACTTATTCAGTATTAACAATGTGAACTTTGGAAATTGCATCAGCGCAATTTACCCGTCGGAATTGGAACTTAAGGACACATCCACATCATCTACTGAAGTGTGTTATCTCAACACAAATATCAAGACTGGCGACGTAACCACACCTTACCGTATTAGCATCTACGATAAGAGAGATGACTTTGCATTCCGAATTGTCAACTTTCCTCATATGGACAGCAACATTCCCGCCATTCCAGCTTACGGTGTTTAGGGACTGTGCAATAATTATCAGGAGGGGGGCTGAAAAACTAGAGGGGGGGGGGGCATTACATAAAATTGCTGCCAAGACTGGGGGGGCTCAAAGTAAAATCCCTCATTTGACGGAGGAGGGGCCTTAAGTTTTATTCGAAGTGTAAATAAAATTAAAAGCAATAAAAGATTCTAAATACAGGCATCATGATAGACTGTAACAAATATCAACACGAACAGGTGTTAAACGATTATTGAAAATATTCCATCAAAATGAAAAGCAAATTCACAACTGATCAATTTTAACCCGTCTTCTAATTAATTGAGCTGATCCTATGTAAAGCAAAAATCATGAACTTGTTTTTCAGCTTCCCCCATAAAACAATGGGAACCAAACAGATCTCGCAGACAAGCTTTGTCGGTTTTTGATGTGATAAAAGTAATGTTTCTTCATCGACTGAATCGATTTGCTGAATTCCATATATATGTGGCTCATAACAAAGTTCACCAGGCTCTCCTCCCAAGGATCTAAATATGATGCAAGCTCTTTTTCGTCTGTTATTTGAAGCGTTCAATCTCCTGTTTTTTGATTTTTTCTCTGCTCCTTTCTCTTTCTGGCTTCAGAAGTTTTAGATTTTGAGCCAATGTGGTAAGCACCCCGGTACTTTGCAAATGCTTTGTCTAAATCTTCAATCAAGCGATCAATATCCTTCTCGATACTAGATGTTACATAATAACGTTTGTCATTATTGAAGCTGTGATGGCAGCTCAGTCCAGTTTTGAGTTTACCAGTGTGGTGGGAGGGTGCGACGTTATTTTTAACATAATAGAGGGGGTTAGAACTAATTTTTTTTGTTTTGGAGGGGGCGTACTGTCTAAGTTTTTGCTAGATAACTCTAGTTTTTCAGCCCCCCCTCCTGATAATTATTGCACAGTCCCTTACATATCTCAACTGGTGAGATATGCTAGAATTTGCACGTCCAAAATAGACTTCATAAAATAAATAGACTTCATAAATAGACTCCGCGGACTTTCATTACGTCTCAGACAACAAGGCTTTGAAACCAATCGACTTCAGAACTCATGTAATAAATTCGTCAATCGCCATGGTTTTATCGTCGAGAAGTACGGTGCAGCCCTTCGGGAGATGAGATTAGCAATCCAGGCTTAAATTGCACCATCGTATCCTTACATTGCTTATTTATTACTTTGATTTTTATTTCAGTTGTATATTGGTACGTATGCGCGCGCGCAATTTAATTTTGGGCGCGTGCATTATTTATTTATTAATCATAACTATAACAAAATTGTCAAATCTGATTGGCTATCAACTGCCCTGATTTCAGCCTTAATTGGACAGTTTAATAGGACAGTACGCGTCATGCCTAAGTAATTGGACAGTACGCGCCATCACGCGCGCGCTTAAATGGCTTTCGTTTTCACTGCTAGCAAAACAAAATTTCAAATTTCTTGTGTTTTGATGTAAAAAATAGCCTATTATATCACAAATTTTGTTACAGTTATGATTAATTGGTAACAGAACTTCGTGTCTTCCAATTCGGTCTGTAATCATACTCGTGATTACACAAATCGGACTCCCGCTACGCGGTCGTCCGATTTTGTTAATCACTCGTATGATTACAGACCGAATTGGACTCCACTCGGTCCTGCTACCATTACTTATTTAAGCTGCGTGTACATTTAGTTCGTTTCATAACGTCTTAGTTTTGCTTTGCGTTATTTTCCTCACTTACATGTGTTGTCGGCGACTGTGCACACACGGTGGGTGGCTCCTCCTAAAATGTAGTGCAATTGGTATAGGAGCCGAAACCAATAATTGTGGAATTGCACGCATTTTAGGCATCCTACTGATGAACAGTTAGGACACGTAGATATATTTTTTTTAGCAACTACTATAATTTGAAGTCTGTCTACTTTGAATTTGAACTG